TCCAGTCTGCATGTGGTTGCTCATGCCTATAATCCTAGCACTTTGGGAGGCTGAGGTTGATGGATCACTTGAGGTCAGGAGTTTGAGAACAACATAGTGAAACCCCATCTCTATTAAAAACATAAAAATTAGCTGGGCGCCGGGCGCGGTGGCTCAAGCCTGTAATCCCAGCACTTTGGGAGGCCGAGGCGGGTGGATCACGAGGTCAAGAGATTGAGACCATTCTGGTCAACATGGTGAAACCCCGTCTCTACTAAAAATACAAAAAAAAATTAGCTGGGCATGGTGGTGCGTGCCTGTAATCCCAGCTACTCAGGAGGCTGAGGCAGGAGAATTGCCTGAACCCAGGAGGCGGAGGTTGCGGTGAGCCGAGATCGCGCCATTGCACTCCAACCTGGGTAACAAGAGCAAAACTCCATCTCAAAAAAAAAAAAAAAAAAATTAGCTGGGCATGGTGGCACACACCTGTAGTCCCAGCTACGTGAGAGGCTGAGGCATGAGAATCGCTTGAATCCAGGAGGCAGGGGTTGCAGTGAATCGAGATTGTGCCACTGCACTGCAGCCTGGGTGACAGAATGAGATTCTGTCTCAAAACAAACAAACAAAAAAAGGCCAGTCCTGGTGGGAAGGAAGGGCTTGCTTAACTGGAAGAGTGGACAGTTCTGCTGTCTTCTTCTTCTTCTTCTTCTTTTTTTTTTTTGAGACAGGGTCTCACTCTGTTGCTCAGGCTGGAGTGCAGTAGTGTGATCTCGGCTCACTGCAACCTCCACCTCTCAGGTTCAAGCGATTCTCCTGCCTCAGCCTCCCGAGTAGCTGGAATTACAGGTGCTTGCCATTACGCCTGGCTAATTTTTATATTTGTAGTAGAGACGGGGTTTCACTACGTGCACGCACACTTGGGGTGTATGGTGGTAATGGTGGAAGCTCATGACTACACCTTACTTAACTGCATGGGGTTTTGCCACGTGCCATGCAGAGGGTGTTTGGATCCACCCAACATCCACCCATTTCTAGGGAGGCAGGACAGGCGTGATGGACAGCCATAATGACCTCATTTCACAGAGGCCATCGCTAAGATTCAGCCTCCTGGAGTCACTAGCGCTGGAAGCCCAAGGCAATGCTGCCTCTTCCTGAAGTTTTCCCACAGCCTCCCAGTGCGAGTGAATCTGTCTTCTGTAATCCCAGGAACCTTGCTAACGCTTCAGCTACCGTGCTTTCCCGGGGTTCTGCTCTTTCATTAGAGTTGGCTGGGTATTTGTGTCTGTTGGTCCACTTGTCCACTGGATACTGGGTACTTCCAGGGGGCAATGACACTAGTCCCCTTTCCCCCTTCCCCTGCCTCCAGCGCACACACAGTACCTTCCTGGCACACATCAGGTCCACTAAGCGTTGCTCTCAGAGAATCACTCAGACAGACCGTGAAGAACACAGCTCCAGAGCCTGCTCTGCCACCACCGGCCCTCACCTGGGAACCAGCGGTAGCCTAATGGGTCTCTGATCCTCAAACTTGCCTGGTCTCCCCTTCCCTCCTCCCCCTATTCTCCACACTTCAGTCCCAGGAAACCTTTAAAAATGTAAATCTGAACTTGTCAGACCTTTCAGGATCCCCACGGAGTTTAGGATAAAATCACAAATCCTCCCAGTAGCCTAAGGGCCTGGCAAGGTCGACCTCAGCTTTATGTGGAACTTCCCCTTCCCCACTGCACTCCAACCACACCAAAGTTCCTTCCTTCTCCGGACTCGCCAAGTACTTCTTCGCTTGCTAGCTTTAGAGCACAGTGCCCGCCTTCACCTAACACCCTACTCCTCCTCCCCTGGGATCTGTCTCCATCGCACACTGTGCATCTCCTCTGGGGAGAGCTGTCCTCTCCCGAGTCCGTGGCAAGCACACAGTAGGCATTCCATCAATATCTGTTCAATGACCGGAGTTAGCAGCCTTCTTGGCTCATTTCCCTGAGGGTGAGGGTGAGGGCAAATGCTTGTTCTCTGCCCAGTACTGACAGGCTTTAAACAGCTCAGCTGGGCGTGGTGGCACATTCCTGTCAAATTTCAGCTACTCGGCAGGCTGAGGTGGGTAGATCCCTTGAGCCCAGAAGTTCGAGACCAGCCTGGGCAACACAGGGAGATGCCCGTCTCAAAAAACAATTGGCGGCCGGGCGCAGTGGCTCATGCCTGTAATCCCAGCACTTGGGTAGGCCGAGGCAGGTGGATCACGAGGTCAGGAGTTCAAGACCAGCCTGGCCAAGATGGTGAAATCCCATCTCTACTAAAAATACAAAAATTAGCCTAGCGTAGTGTTGGCCACCTGTAATCCCAGACACTTGGGACGCTGAGGCAGGAGAACCGCTTGAACCCAGGAAGCAGAGGTTGCAGTGAGCTGAGATTGTGCCACCGCACTCCAGCCTCCAGCCTGGGCGACAGAGTGAGACTCCATATAAATGTTTATTTTTATTTTTGTAGAAATGGGGGTCTCACTTTGTCGCCCAGGGTAATTTTTTTTTTTTTTTTTTTTTTTGAGACCAAGTCTCCCTGTTGTCCAGGATGGAGTGCAATTGCAGGATCTCAGCTCACTGTAACCTCTGCCTCCCCGGTTAAAGTGATTCTTGAGCCTCAGCCTCCTGAGTAGCTGGGATTACAGGCGCTCACCACCACGCACAGCTAATCTTTGTGTCGTGTTTTTGGTAGAGATGAGGGATGGGGTTTTGCCATGTGCCCAGGCTGGTCTTGAACTTCTGGGCTCAAGTGATCCACTCGCCTCGGCCTCCCAAAGTTCTGGGATTACAGGCATGAGTCTCCTCACCGGAAACAGGCTGGTATTTAACTTTAGGCTTCAAGCAATCCTCCCATCTTGGCCTCCAGCCTCAGCCTCCCACAGTGTTGGGATTATGGGGGTGAGCCATGGCACCTGGTAATCAGAAACTACTGCTGCCCACTCCATCTTGGTTGTGTTCATGCCAGGCTGGGACTGGATTATAACGTATTAATATAAGGTGACACAGTGTCTCCTGGGTCTTGCCATTTTAAGGGTGCATTTATGTCCATCCCCTCTGTATCTGCTAAATAAAGGCTGGGAAGCTAGAGTGTGCAGTAAGTTCCACGGCCCTGGGTTTCTAGATCCCTAGTAGGGTGTAGTCTCTGGAGATTGGGGATTGGGACTGCATCCCTCCTCCCTTATCCTTCAGCGTGTTCTTCCCAGAGGGTGACCCTCTGACCTCCAGAATGCTCCCCCTCACTCTCCAGCTGGAAGCCCCAGGAGTCTAAGGAAGGAGGGCTCCAGTTTCTTCATCTGTAAAATGGGGCTAATAATAGCACTTACTTCCCAGGGTTATTGTGAGGAATCAGTGAGCTACTACCTTCAAAGAGCGTAGTGCTTGGCACACAATACACTCCTTACTGTTAATGTTATCAAATGAAGCATTCCCAGGAGTTGGGATCTGGTTAGCAGAGCTCCCTCCCTGTAAAACCCGGGCTGCAAGAATTATTCCCCACAAGCAACATTCTTTCAACTTTTTTTTTTTTTTTTTTTTTTTTTTTTTTTTTTTTT